AACATAGAGCTCCTTGCCCCGTGTGGGTGTTCCTGGGGAGAGTGGCCATACCTGGGAATTGTGTGGTTTTGGGGGAAGCCCTTCCAGCAGTACCTGGTGGTTATCCATAGCACACAGCAGGGACTGGGCATATCCCATCTGCCTTTTGTTTCAAAATGGTGCCTGAAAATGCCTCTTACATAACTGACCTTGAATTCTGCAGTGGGTGATTCACAGGTTTAGCTCACATTAACTTGTCTGCATGATGCCATTCCATGTGGGAGGTGCTGTCCTTTCATGCTCGAGCTGCCACAAGATCATGGTCCAAGTAGCAGCCCAAATTTAGCTTGTGTGTACTGCTGATATGACTTTTAAATCTTGCACTGTCTGGGGATTGGTTGAAACTTCTTTTTCAGCTTGGTGGTGGGAAATCACATCTAAGCTCTTGTTGCTCTCTGCACTCAGAATGTATTTATGGCTTTTTTGGAGGGTGGGAGCAGTGGACGAGTGCCCAGTGAGCTGAAGTGTGTTGAGCACAGAGACAAGTGAACCAGAAGGCTTTCAAGACATTCATCGTGACATCAAACCAGTGTTTAAAAACATGGAATATGATCAGAGATACAGGTTTTTTGCATCTTGAAGTTGCCAAGAGCCCTGGGACCTTAGTGTGAGGCTGGTACCACAATACCTTAGTTGGAATTTTGTGGGAGGCTGAGGTGAGTTTGTTTAATTGTGTTGATGTCAAGGTGTTCACCCCGTTGTGCATAATGACAGAATCTTGCTGAAGGGGCTTAATTAGTGGTGAGATTCATCACTTTTCTCACCCTGAAACTCCCCTTGTTAAAATGCTACTGATTGAGCAGTTCTTACTAGGTTTTTTACAATTTCTTTCGAGTCTTCAGCCCAGCAGAGTCTTTTGACCCCACCTAATACACAGAGCCTTGCTGGCCACCCCAGTTTTTGGGAAGGAGAATCTCCACTGCCTGTGTCTGTTGGATGTAGGCTGGGTGGGAGTAGCCTGGTCTGGGGGAGGTGAAATGAGATGTCCATTGGAAAGTCCCTTCCAACTCAAATAATTCCCAGTTTATACCTTGCTGGCAGTGCTCTGGTGCTGATCCAGGCCCTTTAAGCATGGCTGTGAGGGTAGGACAGCGTGTCTGAGCTGGGGAGGTTTTATTCCAACTTGACCCTATTCCTGAGGCTGCTCTTCCCAGACTTCTGGGAGGTGAGTGTTGCTTTCCTTGGCAGAGCTTTGCACATCTGCTGGGATCCACAGGGGCACAGAACATCATTCACACCCAGCAGGTTCAAATAAAAATCCTGGAAAGCTCTAATGGCTTTTAGATGGGGTTGGAGGTTTCCTGGCAACATCTGCCTCGATTTGAAAAGCTGCTCAGAACATTCACCTGCAGGAACCTCGCACTATTCCCTGCTCCTCATACAAGGAGCATCATTTCTGTAGCCATCAGTGAATTCTCTGTGAAGCTCTCTGCCTTGAAGGTAATCTGTTCCTCTGCATTACAAATGCTGAAAGATTTAATACACTACAGAAGAACAACCTGTGCCGGGTGCAGTTTTGGTTTTGAAGCACATTCTGTGCTCAAAGCAAGGCTTAATCAAATGCATTGATCCTTGCATTGCTGTGTAAAGATTTGGTTCAATCTCCTCCTTTTGTAAAAAATGGAATTAGAATGCTCTTTAATACGTGGTTACTGTATACTCTAAGTGTCCTACAGTAATGTCAGTTCTTGTGAGAAGATGCATTTCAGATGGAGTCTGATTATTCAGTGGATGTTTGACATGCTGTTAGAAACCTTGGCTTTTCCCCAGTTCTTTTTATTCTTGTGGAAGTGACAGCTCCAAGGGGGTGAGATCTGAGTGGGATTACTGCCACAGGGGTGGCTCTGTGAACTATTTAAAGCCCTTTAAAGTCCACTTGTGGGTTCTTACAGAAAGGTTTTGCTTCTGCTTTTGCACTTCTGAACATGAATCCTAGACAAACAAAGTTTTAAAACTACTAAAACTACTTGCTGTATAATTTTACAGAACACTGCCAAAACTCCCTGCCCAAATAAAATATCTGCTCAGCTATGAATTGTTGCAGGGGTAGTTGTGTATCTCAGTCCACATACTACCCCTTGATGGTTCTGAGCAGTGTTTAATTTGGAAAATGATTACTTTATTGAGCAAGAGGAAAGCGGGTCCTGAAGCTGCCTTTGGAAGCAGCTTTACCTTGTGCTGTTACACTTCTAAGAGCAGCTTTAGGTGTAAACAACAAATCAGATGCCACAGGACTTTCAGCTTGTTTATTATGGCTCTTGGGGGGAATAATGAGAATTGAACGTTTCCTGCTGGCATGAGCAAAAATCTTTGGAATGAGGAAATGCCACTGAAGGAGCTTTGCTGCTGCTGGGTTTTTGAGGTCCTGCTGTCACCTTGGTGAACAGGAGACCTGGGAATGGGAACCTCTTGCATTCCCAATCTGAAGGGCTTTTCCCTCTTGTGCTTTTCCCAACGTTTTCTTTGAAATGTGTTTTCCCCAACATTTTCTTTTCTGCAAATGACTTCCAGTTTTTAGGAGCTGACACCTCCCCCCAAGGATGGTTTGTTGGAAAATTGCCAACCAAGTCAGCAACTGGAAGCCAAGATAGTTGGTTTGTTGTTCTCCTGCATGGGGTTTTTATTGGAGGATAGTGGTGACAAAGATAAATAATTTTGGTAGCATGAATGGAGCTGTTTTGTGAAATATCCTTGTCTTGGATATGGACTGGCAGGTGGTGATGGCAGTACTTGGTTAAACTCAAAAATCATTCAGGATTTTAATGGTCACTCCTCTAAATCTCAAGTATTGGGGGGTATTTTGTTTTTCTTTACATTTGGTTTTTTGTTCAAGGTTTGTTATGATGGTACCTGTTCCTCCTGCCCTCTGTTTGCAATGAAATTACAGTTATTACTACTGGTAGGAGAATAATTTCTTCTTCTCTTGGCTATAACAATCTCAAAAAGGATGTGTTTCACTGTATTTCCTACTGAGAATGAAATTCCTGGAGTCAGGAAGAACCCAAGCTTGTACTTGAATAGGAGTGTCGTGTTTTAATATTTAGTTCTACTCAAAATGAAATCTTGGAAACCATCCAAGGCTGAGAGGAGAAATCTTGGAGAATGTTGCCTGACATTTATCTCATCAGTGATACAACTCAGGTATCTAAATGGAATCTGTGCTGTTCCAAGTACTACACCACAGAAGATATTCTATATATTGTGGGCATTTTTCCCCCCCTTTATGGTCTACCTTGAAATAAATAATGCAAGATACTGCCAGAAGCCTTTTCACCTTTCTCCTTGTCTCAGCAGTGCCGGTATCATTTCTTTTGTCTGCGTCTAAAGGAAAAAAACTAACCCAGAGCCCAGCACATGCTTCCCGTGTGAGCAGAAACATCAAATATCGATCCCCAATCCTGCCTTTTAAAGAATGCTTAAAGAAAATCGAATGTAGTCTCAAACGACAAGCACTGGGTTCTTTCAGTGCTGTGTTCTTTCAGCCCTGCTCATCAATTACTCATTCCCTGAGCAGAATTGACCAGCTCTGAACAACTCTTTGGAATTTACTCGAGTAAATCTTACCCTTGAAAATGCAAATTTAGCAGCTGCAAAATTTCCAGCTTTTCTGGGAACTCTGAAGATAAAGAAGGGGTGGTGGGCCCCCTTTGCCTGTTTGCTGTGCTGGGTTGGGGGGTGATCAGCTGGAGATCACCCTCACCTACTGAAAATACTTCATGAGTTCTAGCGAGAGGAGGGCTGTGTTGCAGGAATGGTGGTGTGGGGTGGCTGGGGCTGCTTCAGTGACCTCGGAGTGCTTGGAGCACTGGGAGATATTTTCCCTGTTGGATGAATTTGTTATCCCAGCCCAGAGGAAAGGCAGGAAATGAAGACATTAAGGAGGCAGTTGTCTCTGTACTTGAGAACTGGAGAGCACAAGCAGTTACAGAACATCTTTCCCAGTGTAAGGTGTGTGCTCTGCCAGGTGGAATTTGCCGAGAGCTGAGTGTGGGCAGGTGGCATTTAAACACTGGATTCAGTGATTTTTTCATTACTGCTGGGGGTGCAGGCTGAGCTCAGCTTCGTGGGACTTCCCTGCTGAGAAAACTGCTTTGAAGTTGCTGTGTCTGTTAAACAACTGTGTTTGTACCTTTTCTTTAGTTCCTAAAGAGCTCCCCTTCTCTTTGAGGAGGCAGCTTTGGGAGTGAGGGAGGAAAGGAATGGGGCAAATGGTTCTATGTTTTCTTCTGGATTTTTGTTTGGTCATGAAATTTGAATATTACGGTCCCGTTTCTCCTTGGAGATGAAATCCTTTTCAGCGGGAGTGATCTGGAATTCAGTTTCTTTGCTTAAATACTGGGGAAAGAGGAGAGGCTTTGTTCCAAGTTTGATTGATGAAATTCTCTCTCCTTAAACCTTCCCCTCAGTAACTTACTACGTTATCCCTCCTTTTTGAACATCTTTGAAATTCAGAAAAGCGTGAGGTTTCCAAGATTTTAAATTACCTTTATTTGCCAACCGTGTCCCTTTCTGAGTGTCTGATAAAAAGCTGAGTGCTGAATCCAGACCTGTTTGTTTGTGACGTTTTCAGAAAAAGTGTGGAGATGAAGACAAAAATTTAAATGTACAAAATGATCTGCTTCTAGAATAGTGTCAGTGTTGCTTTCCACTTGTTAGGATGGAAAATAAATCTCTGTGCATGTTTGAGGAAGATCTTTATTGATAGTTCAGATGGTGTCACCTGTTTTGATATTGCAGTTATTGACTTCAGCTGTTAACTAGGTTTTAACTTGTAATAGATTTCCTCGAAGCCTAAGTAGACATGTTTCTTTTCTATGTGTCTTATTAGCAGAAAAAGTACAACAAGCCCTAGAGGCACTCACTGAAGTACAGAGGGAAAAAATGCTTGATAAGGTGCATGGCTTTTGAATTATAAATGCTGGAAATAACTGTGTCCTAAGTATTTGTGTATTACTTTACAGGTCTGAAGGTGACAGCTCAAGAAGCCTCAGGTATGTGTACATCATCTTGATGCCTTTGTTCTAAGAAAATTCTTTATTTAAAAGCATTAAATAGAAATAGATTTTTTTTTTAATGTGGGCATTATTGGTTGTGCTTAGCATGCCATTGGTGTTTTGAGTAAAGGTTCTTTTCCCTTGGATAAGTTACTGAATTGTTCTATCTCCAGTGTGGTTTGAGAGTGAGGGATTAGTTTGGATCATTACAAAGATTTAGGGTTAGTTCCTGGTGCTCCCAATCAGAGTTCCTGCTCGACAGCCCTGTGCCCTGGGGCAGCTGTGTGCCAGTTTTGGGGCAGCATCTATGTTGAGGGGAAGTCTGTGGACTTGTTCTGGCTTTCTTAGCAGTCTCCTCTTTTTCACCTGTCAGGGAGAGCCTCCATCAACTCATTATTACAATGCTCATTATGCACTTGGAAGGTTCAGATGATGTGCAGAATTTAATGTAATTTTCAGATACTTGACTTCCAGCTTATCACTTGTTTTATACTCGGGGGTGGTTTTTATTCCCACCTCTCTGCAAACATGGCTCAGTCAAGCTTGTAGAGCTTGTAAAAGTGCTCTCAACAGGACTGAGATGTGAAAATTCCATCCACCTGAAAGTGTTCCACATTCATTAGAGCATTGACATTAGCAGATGCCTTGATTCTCCAGCAGTGTGACTATTGATCAGTGATAATAAGGTTCATAATATTGACTGTGGCTTCACCATAATACCCTGCAGTGTGTTTTGGGGACTGTCAGGACACTGCATTTTAAGGCATTGTGTTTGTTTATTGTAAAACCCCAGGTCAAAGGCAGGACCTTCCCTTGCAGAATTAAAATCCAGTTCTTACCCACAGGTGTGCAGACTATCCCCAAGAACAGGTGAGTTGCAGAACAGTCAGGTATTGGAAAACCAGAAGCCTGGGGGAAAGGATTAAAGGTTCTCTGAAAGGCTTTTGTCTTACACCCGAGTTCAGGATCACTGTGGTGTGGAGCTGAGCTCGAGGCTGTGCAGGGCAAGCTGGGAACGTGTCTAATGCACAGCCACGGAACTGGATCAAATCCAGCCTCTGGGCATCACTACATCCATTCCTTGGGTTCTTAGCTCCGAGCAGAGTTGCCTGTGCTGGCAAGCTGTGGAAGGACTATTGCTGGTCAGCTGTTGTGAAGCAGTAATGTTTCTGGTTAACTGACAGTAATGTCCCTGGTGTGTGGATTTCCAGCAGTGTGGTCGTGGTTCAGCCTCAGTGATCACTCTTGTTTGTCCTTGAGCCTCCCGTGGGATTTGGCTGCTCCTATGGATGGTGTGTGTGGCATCCCTGGATGCATCTGCTGGGAGTGGAGCTTCTCTCTTGCAGGGCATGTTTGGGGTTTAGGCAGTGCACAGGCACAGCTGAAAGCTGCTGACTTCAGCTCTGGTTTGGTGCTGCCTGAAAACCAAACTCCAGCCCTGGCTCTTGCCAGGCACCTTCATGCCCTGGGATATTTCAGTCAGGGCAAGGCACTGATGATGGAAGGTGTCTGGCCAGAGCCATTCCCCCCTCAGAGGAAGGCTCTGCTCGGGCTTGGTGCCCCTTTGGGACCTGGCAGTGCCACATGGGGTACGTTCCAGCTGCTGGGTTGTGGTGGGGGGAATCAGCACTCTGTTCCTAGAGACCTGTAGACTGCCAGGCTGAGCCCTGGGGTGCTGGTACCGTCCTGGTCTGAGGCTGTTGAGGGAATTAATTCTGTTATTCAGTGTGAACTTGAGCTACTCCAAGACAGCCTCAGACTTCTCTGACAGCCTGATTTTAACCAGGCTGATGCAGTAGCGAGCAATCGAGCAGGAGGCAGAGCCACACTCCTGAAATGCTTTTTCAGTGTAAATTCTCTATCCTCTCTCTTAAACTGCATTTTCTCTGAGGTGGAATGTCACTGAGGATGTGCTTTTGTGTTTCTGCCTGCACAACATCCTGGTCAGCTGTGGTCTTGTCTTGGGCAAAAGCTCTCTAGGCTCTGTGGATGTTTAGGCAGCATCTTTGTTGTGGTCAATTTGCTTCCTAGTGTTTTCCTTTCTTTCTGGCAAATGAAGATGAAATGCAATTATCTCAAATGAAATGATCAGGGCAGTTGGGGAACAGTGCTTAATCTCTGAAGAGATCATTGTTCTGCTAACAGAGGTATCAGCAAAGTAGCAGCAAATCCAAATGCTGGCCAGCCAAATGGTTCCATGAAATCAAGGGGTGCAAGGAGCCACAGGCAGGTGAGAAGGCAGGGATAAAATGTCCTGTCTCAGTGTTAACTGGACAGACACCAGGTGGGGGGAGGTTAGAAGGGCTTGTGTTTGTGGTCAGTAAATGAAGGTGTTGGTTAGCATTGATGGAGTCACAGCCATTGATGCTGCAGATAAAAGGGTGACTCCAAATAAACTGAGATGCAGCCAGAGATGTTGGTCTCTCCCAGCTGGGTGAGTGTAATCAGACTCCTGACCCAGAGATTGCTTTGGAAGAGCTGGTGTTTTTCATGCTGGAATGGAATATCCAATACAAGTGATGCCCTGGAATTTTACACTGTTGCTTGGTTGCAAAGGATATTGCCCTGGTGGATTTGTTTTCAGTAGCTTTATAGCTGCTTGTAACGAGGAAATTGCATCCACAGGATGTTTATAGTGCTGTGAAATGCAGAAAACACAGAATCTGTGCAGACACGAGGTTGACACAGCAAAGTAAAATGATTCCAAATAATGCATTAAAACAACCAAAAATCAGCTTGAGTTTATTTCTTTAATTTGGCTTTCCCATTAAGACAAAAAGTCATGAATTATCCTGTTGTACAAGCCCATAAAATTCTTCCTATTTATAATAGAGTTGTACTGTAATAAACTCACTTTGGTTTCCCTTTGGTGAATGCCACAATTTCCAAACCAAGGTATTTGTTAAATCTATTAAAATTGGTATATTGCTTTGAACACTTTGCATTCTGAGATGTAATGCACACATACAATGTGGAGCTGTCAGTGTGACGGGCTGCTTTAATTTGCTGTCTTTGTTCACATGTTTCCAGGAGAAAATGCAATTTGTTTTACAAGGCATTTTGATATTTAGTGGTGTGATGTGACAGCTAAGATGAAGATGTTTGTGTGCAGTATATCCTATCAAAGTTTGCTAAGATTGTCTCGAGGTTTAGTAGCAGATACTCCTCTTCCCTCTGCACAGGCCTTGTCTGTTTAAAAATCACCAGAGTGGAGGATTTGGGCAGAGTGAGAGGTGCAGAGGGGTTCAGGGAGCAGCTCTGATGAGCAAAGCTCTGAAACCTGCCCAGAAACAACACCTTTGGGGTTTTCCTTTCTTTCCAGTTGCTCCTGCCCAGTGGTGTGCTTTTAAAGAAGCAACAAGGTACAAAATGAAGAAAGTTGTAACAAAACTGCATCAAAGGAGAGGCTTTTGTGGCTCCTGAGCTGAGAGGTGCCACAAGGCTGTTGCCAAAAAGGTGTGGTGTCCTAGGAAAAGCTATGAAATAGGCCCAGAAAGAGAGAAAAGGCTGAAGGTTAGTTTTAAAATAAGAAGAAAAAAGGATGGCTGAAATACTAATTATGTGGGAAACATCAGCTAAGTCATTTAGCTGAACTAAAAGAAAAGTGTGATTGTTTCCAGGCTGTAATAGACGGCAATGTGTGGAGTTGTGTCTGTTGAGCATCACACAGGAAAGGCTGGTTCCTTTTAAAGGTGCACATTAGATTAAGTGGAAAAGTAATGGTCTAATTTACTTTAGAGAAGGAGAGAATTGTGCAATATCAGCCTCATTCTGTGCTGGCTGGAGTGGGAGGACTGGCTGGGACCCTGACAAACCACATGGATGCAGCAGCAGAGGAAATCCAGCAGGAAGCAGAGTTTTAGGAACTTCTTGTTTTGTTTTATTCTGGGAAGATCTGCTTGAACTGTGTGACTCAGCGTCCTCTCTGAGAACCTGCAAAGTACAATTAAACACAAAGAGACGTGTAAACGTAATTTTCAAGTTGGAATGTACTGCTGTGCCATCTAAATGACTCAGTGTCTATATGTAAAAATGGCCTTTTCTGGCTGATTTTAATCATTCCATGATGACTCTACTACAGTTTTATCACTAGTACTTAAAATATGCAAAATCATCGCTTGCTAGTAATTTTAAAGCCCCCAAATTTTCATCCAATAGATTTTTACATAAATGTCAGGTTGACTCTCTCCAGTGGAGTGGAATCTGATGAGTCTCCTGATGTTAGTTTAAATTAGTTTTATTGCTGCCAACGGAAATAAAACATATGGAAACAGCTTCTGGTAGTTGAGATGGCTGTGGAGCTTCCAGTGACTTTCAAATGATGAAGATTTAATCTGAATTTCAGAATGAAAGGACAGTAATACATTCATCAAATTGTTGGAACTGTTTCTATGTCATCTTTAATAGTGGTGATCCATTTGTGATGTTAAAAAAATCCTTTTTTTCCCCCCAGAATTGTATGAAGCTTAGAGCCAACCTGTTTTCTTTATTTCAGTCCCCATGTCTTGCCTATGGAACTTAAGCTGCAAGTGCTGGTGAGCAGGAGGGATATGTTTGTGGTCTGATGGTGTTCAAAAGGTGCCTATAATTCTGTGCTTCATGTGGATTTTTATTTTTCTGGATTTCTTACTGAGAATCTTCAGGCCTATCATGAGGTTTCATGACTTCAGCTGCAAATGATTCTGTCACAGACACAACACATTTGTACAAAATTCCTGCAGGAACTCAATATTTTTTCCCTCCTCAATACCATTCCCTTAGACTCAATCCTCGAGGAAGTCCAAGAGCATTGTGAATGGGTGAATTAAAGGGAAAAAGGGATGGGTTTTTTTGGCAGGAGTTGTGTAAACACAGATAGGTGTCTGTTTGCAGATGAAGTTTTTGCATCAGGCAATGCATTATATTAATAGTTTGACTTCTGAAAAGTAGAATCAAGCCTCACGAAGTCTTGGATGCCATCCAGGTGGGTAAAGCAGCATATGCAAGCATTTTGCCCACAATTCTTTCCCCTGGAAATAGACAGCTGTAATT